TAACTTTTGCATTTTTACATTTTCCTATTTTTTTTTTTCATTTCCCTGATCGTAGAACCCAGAGGGCATTTTTTTTTAGGATTGAAGCTACAGGAGCTACAGGATTGATGATTGATCTGCAGATCCAGGGGTGGCACAGTCGGGCAGCACTCGCCTCCCTATTTTATTGATGGAAATATATTTTCATTTGTTAAAACAACAAATTTTGTTTACTTTCAAGTGAAGAATAAATTTTCAAAGAGAAATTCTCACAAAAATTCGTCCCACTCAAAAGTACCAGTGAACCACGGGGACAGAGAACAAGACACAGTTCAAATTAACTTTCGGCTCCCCACATTTGTGACATTTGCGTAACCCTGAGTGAACACCGCTTAAATGAGTAAATCTTGAGACACTCATTAAAACTGCATTTCCACTTTACCTGTACATGTAAGCAGACTGAACATTGATCACTCCCTCTTCACTTTACCGAACTTTTGAATTTTGTTTTCGTGCCTATTGAATAGCACATGCTTGTACTGTAATTTAGCCTTTCATGTACCTTTGTACATTACCGATTAACAAGTGTGATTTTCTTGCCATGTACTTTGTTGCTCAAAGCAGTTACATTTACGTTTGTATTTACTGATGTAAAGATAATTGCACTTCACTAGCGCTGAAATCCTACGCCCTCATCGGAAGATTTTTTGTAATGTTTAGACAACTGCTTTATTGTATTGAAATACATTACACTTACATGTGTAACTTGCGGTCCCTACCTTCCGTTATTAATAAACTATAGTTCGGAGGTATCCATGCACCATCATGTCTGCCACTGACAAGCCAGGGACACAAACCTTAACCCTTCGTGGCAGAACACCCTAGACTAACCTGCTAAAGTCGAGCTACTAACTCCTACGATCACTGCCCAACTGCTATGGCAACCGAGGCCAATTGATGAGTCTCAACCTCTGAAAATGGCTCAACAACATCTAGTGAATTCCGACAATATTCCAGGTATATTGCAGAATACAGACCCTACAGGCAAAAACAAAACGATTTCAGTCACCTGGCCAAGATATTTAGCAATCAGCTCAACTTGAGCCGTTTTTCCTCACCAGAGCCTGGTGTATTTCAGGTAACCCGCTGAAACATCCCAATCGGAGAATTACATACAGCTCTGAAACACCTATCAAGAAATATGATGTGACAGAGTCGCCCGAAAAGGCTGGACTACCTAAAAAGATATTAGACTGGTCAAGCCAAGGAAGTAGTCATTATATTCCTCATCTTATCGAGCGAAGATGCCTTCGTGAAGGCCAAGGCTCTGCTGCAGAAGAGACACTGTGATCTGTTTGTTGTCGTCAATGTTTTTACAGATAAACCACATGACCAAATCTGGCACCAAGAAGTTGAAAGAGTTTACGGAATCTGGTAAGCTTCCTTTGAAAATGCAATTCTGCTATGAACTCAGATAAGAAGTATACTTAACAATGACGGAGAAAACAGAAAAGCACTTGTGAAATTGCATACACCAGCCTGGTTTGTCACAAGGTGGGATCATAAGGTGCAGGAATGGAAGGAATACCACAACAAATCCCCACCTCATATGGAATTCGTCAAGTTTGTTGTCAAAGAAGCTGACCTTGCACGTGACCCAGTGACTTCACTCCAGTGTCTCAAGGCAGAAAGGCCCCTTGGTAATAATATGAAACTAGATGCTCGAAGTGATCAAGCCCGAAAGAGAGACTGGAATAAGCACATTCTCGACTGGGACTAAAACAAAACCAGAGAGACTTTCATTGCGATGTAAAGAACCGCCAGCTTGATGTCTACAAGAATGTCCTCTCCAAAACTCTCAAAGAGAGGAAACCATTCGTGATGAAAAAGGGACAGTCACTTTACTTTTGCCTGCTTAACCCAAGGGCACAAGTCAAGCAATGCCCCAAAGGAAAACTTGCCAGGCATGCAACGATGACACCCGACTTCACTTCATGGTGATGCCCAGCAAGCTCAATCCCCGAGCCCTAGGCAAGAGAATGGAGCATCTGAACCTGTGGCGGCATCAACAATTCCTAACTGCACCCACCCTAATAAGTCTGCCTCATCTTAAAGGGAGCTCGTACATCCCGCTCTCTAAAAATGCTGCACGCGCACACGTGATAACAACCGCAGCGGTACACCACCTCAACTGAAAAGGAGGAGAGTCACTCACATCTTTTTTTTCCTTTGTTTGTCATGGTTCACCGTTGCAACGTTTTA